AATACCACTCGATAAAGCCTTAGTAAGGCCACACTTGGAATACTGCATCCAGTTTTGGTCACCACAATGTTAAAAAAGATGTTGAGATTCTAGAAAGAGTGCAGAGAAGAGCAACAAAGATGATTAGGGGACTGGAGGCTAAAACATATAAAAATTGGTTGGTGGAACTGGGTATGTCTAGTTTGCTCCAATACTGGATGTTTTTAAGAAGGTGTTGGATATCCATTTGTCTGAAGTGGTGTAGTGTTTCCTGCCTAAGCAGGGGGTTAGACTAGAAGACCTCCAAGGTCCCTTCCAACTCTGTAATTCTATTCTATTCTCTGGGTTCTTCCCGTCTCTATTATTCATGCGCCCTATCCAAAACAATAACCTTTCCAGAAGTATTGGACTACAAATTCTCTTTTCCAGCCCGTTCTGACCGTTTGCCAACCTGATGTAAGCTGTACAACACATTTAGATTACAAAAAGCTTCCAGTTAATAATTCCCCATCCAATCAGACACCTTAGCTCCTTGGTCTACGCTTCCCACTAATCTGTAGTGTGATCTCTTTGTTTTTGGTTAGTATATTATGTAAAACCCACCTAATCAAGTGAGATTTATTCAGTGAAAGAAAATACATGCTGCCAGACTAAGCCTCTTTTTTGCAATACAGGAGGGTGTGGGGAAAAGCCCACATATTGAGTTTAGGATAGAAGCGGTGTTTTAATCACATACTGCAGGCTCCTTACAGATTCAATAATAAGCGGAGAAATTACTTTGATTTATAGTGTTCAAAATGGAACGTTACTGTGTGACAAAAGTTATTTCGCTTCCGTGTGCCTCTAATTGATATAACCAAACTAAGTGGCAATCATTTGAATTCCAGTGGACTTCTTCATACGCTGCTCCTGCTCCTTTCATAATGTTAGGCCTGTTCCCAGGCACTGAGTACCTAATCAGGCATAACAATTATCCTTATGGATTGAAGGGATAGGCTGTCCTAGCAGTTTATTTGTGAGACTAACTGAGATAATTAATACAGGACTACTTAACTGCAATCCCCTCCATTTGTTTCCTTGACATGATGACTTTAGGTTTGTTTAAATTATGAAATATTGTAAACACATGTAATTATGTTATTATTTAATTATCTATTAAATTATATGCCATTCAAGAAAAGTAATACCTTCTTTGATCTTAAGGTTGGCCAATTTGTGATCTGTCGAATCACTTTTGGAATAGACTGCTGAATCACAGAATAACAGGGTTGGAAGGGACCTTGGAGGTCTTCTAGTCCAATCTCCTCAAGCAAGAGACCCTATACTAGGGGTGCCAAACTGGCGGCCCACGGGCCAGATGCATCACGTGCAGGCCACGCCCACCCCAGCTTTGCAAATGGGAAAATCGTTGTGAAACGTCACGTGACAGTAACGCAACACTGCTAGTTCGACACCAATGCCCTGTACCAGCGATGGTGAAACTTTTTTGGCTTGCATGCCATAAGTGGGGAGGTCGCAGGGGGGTCGTGCACGGGTGTGCCGCACCCATAATGCAATGTGCGACCTCCCTCAGTGTGCATGCGCGCATGACAGGCGCTTCCCCCTTTTTTGCATGCTTTTTTCGTCCTCCCCAGGCTCCAGAGGCTTTATAGGAGCCTGGGGAGGATGAAAACTGACTCCCCCTCCCCCCTCCCCCCCTGAGGCCCTCCGGGGGCTTCAGGAGCTTCCCTGAAACCTCCGGAGTGCAAAAAACCGGCCCTATGGACAAACCGGAAGTTCAGGAACAGACTTCCAGTTTGCTCATAGGGCTGGTTTAAGCCCTCCGGAGCCTTCAGGGGCGTTCAGGAGGCTTCCCTGAAGGCTCCGGAGGACGAAAAATGACCATACGAGCAAACCGGAAGTCACTTTGCTCGTGGGGTCGTTTTTAGTCCTCCGGAGCCTTCAGGGAAGCCTCCTGAAGGTCCCTGAAGGCACTGGAGGTCTTAAACCGGCCCTACAAACAAACCGGAAGTTCATTCCTGAACTTCCGGTTTGCCCATAGGGCCTATTTTTTTGCACTCCGGAGGTTTCAGGGAAGCTCCTGAAGCCTCTGGAGGGCCTCCGGGGAGGCGTGGAGGGCTGTTTTCGTCCTCCCCAGGCTCCTATAAAGCCTGAGGAGGGCGAAAAATGGCTTTAAAAAGGCTGAACTCAGCTGGTTAGCGCGCGCTGGCCAGTTAATAGGACAACACCTTGCGTGCCCTGACAAATGGCTCCGTGTGTCACCTGTGGCATGGGTGCCATAGGTTCGCCATCCCGGCACTATACCATTTGGGACAAGTGGCTGTGTCCAATATCTTCTTAAATATCTGCAGTGATGCAGCACCCATAACTTCTGAAGAAGACATTTCACCAATTAATTGTTCTCCCTGACAGGGAATTTCTCCAGTGACCTCAAGCTCTTTGAGAAGAGACTGGATAGAGAATAAGAAACAAACTTTCTTGTTGTGTCTCTATGTTGTACACATGGGTTGAATCCATTCACTCATATAGAATGTGATAGAATAACAGAATTGGAAGAGACATTGAAGGTCTTCTAGTCCAACCCCCTGCTTAGGCAGGAAACCCTACACCACTTCAGACAAATAGCTATCCAACATCTTCTTACAAACTTCCAGTGTTGGAGCATCCACAACTTCTGGAGGCAAGCTGTTCCACTGATTAATTGTTCTCACTGTCAGGAAATTTCTCCTCAGTTCTAAGTTGCTTCTCTCCTTGATTAGTTTCCATCCATTGCTTCTTGTTCTNCTTTTGTAACCAACTGATACACTTTATACAGTATGTAAAGAAGGAGGATTTGTATGCTTGTTTTGGGAAAAAAAAATTACAAAAAAATAATAATCAACTCAATGTCTTTAGAGATTCTCAAGTCATCCAGGTTGTCCCAAAGGTTCTTTTTTCAGGAGGCAACTGTACCTTGTTTTTCTTTTCTTTTGAAGACTTTTCGCTTCTCATCCAAGAAGCTTCTTCAGCTCTGACAGGATAGTGGGGAATGAAAGGATTTATATTTCTTGCAGACAGCTGATAAAACAAGGTAGTCCAGTTGTCTCCTGAAAAAGCACCCTTGGGAATCAACTCAATGAAAAGCTATTTTCACAAGAGTAGAACTAGATTTTAAGGACAATCTTGGCAACTTTTAAGCTATGTAGACTTCAGCTCCCAGCGTCCCCCAGCCAGCATGCATGTTGAAGTTACCAAGCTTCAAAAACATTGCTCTAAGATAACAATCATTTTATTTGTCTATGAATTTTGGGCAGTAAAATCAACAACTCACAAAATGGATCACAAGTGGGACATCCTTTTTTCCTGTGTACTTTCATACTGCAAAATATTGCTGTTATTAACCCAAGCTATGACACTAAGGGACGTGATGGCTCAGTGGCTAAGATGCTGAGCTTGTCGATCAGAAAGGTCGGCAGTTTGGTGGTTCGAATCCCTAGCGCCGCATAATGAAGTGAGCTCCTGTTACTTTTCCCAGCTTGTAGCAACCTAGCAGTTCGAAAGCACATAAAAATGCAAGTAGAAAAAGTAGGAACCACCTTTGGTAGGAAGGTAACAGCCTTCAGCATTTAGTCATGGCGGCCACATGACCACGGAGACATCTTCGGATAGCGCTGGCCCTTCGGCTTTGAAATGGAGATGAGCACCACCCCCTAGAGTCGGGAACGACTAACACATATGTGCGAGGGGAACCTTAACCTTACCCCATGACACTCTTCTTTCTAACTGTATCCCAACCTTTCCCGACCATACTTTCTTCCTCCGTTGCTCATAACTACATTCCGTAATTTGCCATTTTGACTGTCATTTTTCATTTTGGCAATTCATCATGACTTATAAAACCTGGCTTGTCATAATGCAAAACCCTTTTCTTTGCAGTTACAGGTTAGTGCCAGATTTCCACTTCCCGGCACAGTTTGATGATATCCTCCGGGCCACCAAACATTTCCTGCTGCCAGATGTCCTAGCTCAATATTCTGTTGATCCCACCAGAATTGCAGTTTCCGGTGATAGCGCAGGAGGCAACCTGGCTGCTGCCTTGTGCCAAGAGGTAAGAAATGACCCAGACACAGATCCATCCTCAATTGTGCAGAAGGTACCAGGATTGGGACTAAGTGAGGACACATTCCCTTTTTATGGGATGGTTTTAGTGGTCAATTCTTGTCTGCTCCCATGGAAATGGAGAAGGAGACAATTTCTGAAAAGCCAGGATAGAGGAAGGATGGATGGGTGGGTGGAGTAGTAACTGTGAGAAGGATCTTGGAGTCCTAGTGGACAACCATTTAAACATGAGCCAGCAGTGTGCAGCAGCTGCCAAAAAAGCCAACACAGTTCTAGGCTGCATAAACNGGTGGTTGAACCCATACTGAATTCTAGCTGTAGGTGGAAAGCAAAGTCCTATGTTTGCATGAGAGAGGAGTGACCCATTCTGGTTACTAGTGTAGGAAGTTAGCATCCCTCCCTCTCCTAGAAGAATGAGATATTCTAGGAAATATTAAAAAGGTAGAATATTATATTTCCCTGGATGAGAAATGGAGAAACATGTTTTTTAAGGTAGGAAGCAGACTCTTAATTGCCCCCACCCTCCTCAATAGCCCACAGCAGGTGTCAGCACTGAAGAGATAAAGAGATAGCTAGGTCTATCCATAGGCAAATGCCCTCACCCAAGATCCAACAAAGGTAGGATTAGCCCTCTACCCCTCTAGCAACAGAACTCACCACATGGCACCTGGGGAGATTACATCACCCAACAAGATTCAACCAAACTTGGGACTCAAGACACTACAAAGTTACCCCTGAATGGCCCCATGGGAGCCTGACAACCAATCAGAATACATTTCTTACACAGGAACAGGGAGCTCCAAGGCTCCCAAGAGAGGGTATAAATCTCTCTCTCTCTCACCCATGTGCTTTTTTTGCCCAGGACTTCAAACCATGTGGTCCAGTGGTGGGTTGCAAATATTTTTACTACTAGTTTGGTTGCACTCCTGAGCGTGCTTGCACTTGTAAGCAATGCTTCCACGCATGAACAGAGGTCTCCGGGTGGGCGGGCAGGGCCTCCCACAGCCGCTACTTCCAGTTCAGCCGAACAGGGAGCCACCCACCACTGATATGGTCCTGTCCACCATTAAAACCATCTTTCCAAGCAGTTTCTATGTTTCCAGTGTCCTTCTCCCCATTTGGAACTGAACCCAGAAGGACATTTCTTCTAACACTAGAAAGCTGTTTTTTCTTTAACTGGAACAACCGCTGTTTCTGGGCTAGATTTTTTTTTAATGGGATTGTTTTCCTCCCATCTAAAAAACCATAGAATAGTTTCAATTGAAGAAGTAAGTTGTATGGCATTAACAATTTTGTCCATCTTCTCCTCTTCTCAAATGTTAATAAAGGATGAATAGATGTGTCCTTTCCCAGCACCGGGTTGCATTTCCCCTTGGATATTGGATGGATATGAGGCCCTCCAGGGCATTTAAAGAGGACCTGATTGTAAATGTCGGATTGATAGAGGCCAAGAACAAGTGACTTCCATTTCCTTAAAATATTTAGCAATCTATGACTCCTAAAACTGTAGACCCAACCTTCGGAATAAAATTACCAAGGGTCATCAATATTAAACTATTACTGAAATAGGGGGTGCTATATCTGCTTAATTGAAAGGTTGGATTTTGTTTTTGTTGCTGTTAAATAAAATTAAAGTCTTGTGTCTTCTGCTGGATAGGGCAGGAGCTGGCTAAGACGAGCCGTTTCTTACAACAATAGCCCGTTTCTATAAATGAATTAATCTAAAATTAGAAACGCAGATGCCTTTCTCGGTTCCCTCCGCTGAAAACAAGCATTTCATCCTTGTCTAACTCAGGGCAGCCGGCGTCCTCTAGTGGCTTAATATTTCAACCGCAAATACTAGAAACGAAATTTAGCCTTTCTCAACTCTTTCCCTTATCAACAGAACAAATTATGATTTGCACTGCTTCTCACATTGCAAACCCATGACGTAATTTGTTTAGTTTTGGCTTAATGGAACAGGTGAATCCTGTTGCAGCTTTCAAATCATTACAAATCATCATTTGTAAGCTAGCCATGGTGATTTATTTAACAAACCATGATTAAATGAAGTATAGTGTATTGTGATACATGAACTCGGCTTTTGAGTGCTACCAGAAGTAAATATGTACCTGTTTTAGGTATCCTCTAGCATATTTTACATGGGGTAATTTTAAAGTGGTATAGTTTCACCATACATTATTCATTATATTTCTACTTAGGCTTAGTTTACATATTATATAGCCTTACCCTTTTGATATTCTTTTATTATTCTGGCTTTTGGTACCTATTGGAGCAGTCCTGACTATATTTGACTGGCTTCCTATGTCCACCCAATCATAGTATATTATTTCCTATTCATTTGCACCCCATTGTTCTATGCTGGTTTTAGGCCACAATAATCAGGTTTAAAGTAAACGTGCTACATTGTGTGGCTTGCACACCCAGAAGGCATTCTTCAGAATTTGGTTTGCAGTGAGAGTTTTTCTTTTTAAAACCCATTGTTCTCCTGCCATTGGTGCAGATGAACATTTTGTCTTCCTATAAGACAGTGTCATTGATTTTGGATAACAAGCCTCCATAGATGGCTTGGGGCTAACACAAACTGCATAACATATGGGCCAAGCAAATGGGAGCTTTTCCTGAGCCAGCTCTGATGCAATTCTTCCTAGCCAAGAATCCTTAGAAGTTGTCAGACTATTAATTTCAGCCATCCCTAGCCACATGGCCAATAACCAGAAATAAGGACAGTTGTATCCCAACGGTCTCATAGATGGGAGAGGCTGTGGCCAATCCTAGCTCTTCCCTATTTAATAATCAACTCAATGAGATACAGGTTGATAGATGGAAGAGTATAATTCAAAATTAGNTGTTCCACTGATTAATTGTTCTCACTGTCAGGAAATTTCTCCTCAGTTCTCCTCAGTTGCTTCTCTCGATTAGTTTCCACCCATTGCTTCTTGTTCTACCCTCAGGTGCTTTGGAGAATAGCTTGACTCCCTCTTCTTTGTGGCTGCCCCTGAGATATTGGAACACTGCTATCATGTCTCTTCTTTTCATCAAACTAGACATACCCAGTTCCTGGACAGTTCTCCATATGTTTTAGTCTCTAATCATCTTTGTTGCTCTTCTCTGCACTCTTTCTAGAGTCTCAACATCTTTTTTTACATCATGGCATGCTGTTACGATGTGGCATGTTGAGTTTCTGGATTTCCCAACAAACCTTGAAGAAAACAAATTATGGGTCAGTGTATTCAAGATCTGTAGGCATGGATTGTTTGACTGAATCACTGCCTGTTTTCTGTCTTCTGTCTACAGATAAGTCAAGAGGAGAACATAACCAGTAGATTTAAACTTCAGGCCCTAATCTATCCCGTCCTTCAACCTTTTGATTTTAACACTCCTTCATACCAACAGAACAAACTCAGCCCAATCCTAACACCTTCAGTGATGGTGGCATTCTGGATAGAGTATTTCAATGGAAGTTATGATTTTGTCCAGTCCATGTTGATGAACAATCACACTTCCCTAGAGGTGAGCGAGGCCAATTCCTTCAGAGACCGACTAGACTGGACTTTCCTTCTGCCTTCAAGATTCAGGAAGAATTACAAACTAATAGCTCATACCACAGGGAAACCTGAAATCATTCAGAATATTCCTGCCCTCTTAGATACCCGGGCAAGTCCGCTTCTGGCTGAAAAAGAGCTATTACGCCTGCAGCCCAAAACCTATATTATGACTTGTGAGATTGATATTCTCAGAGATGATGGTCTCATGTATGCCAAACGGCTAGAGAAAGCCGGCGTGGAGGTCACCATTGACCACTTCGAAGACTGTTTTCATGGCTGCATGCTCTTCACCGTTTGGCCACTTAATTTTTCTGCCGGATTTCACACCAGAGACAGCTATCTCAAGTGGCTGGATGAAAACTTGTAACCAGAGAAAGACCAGTCTCGAGAAAAACAATTCATTTGCCACTCATTTGAAGACATCGCTTAGAGGACATCCAGTACAGGATAGCATGCTTCCCCCGTACATCTTCTGTGACACATAATTTATGGAGAAAAGCCTTGTGCAATCTCCAGTTCCAATTCTAAATGTATTTGCAAGGAAATAAACCTAGTCTTAATGGAGGTAGTAGAAAAAGGTGGCTAAATAATCCATACCACTACGCACCACCAGACAAAAATGATATCGGTGAATATAGTTTTATATAAAACTTTATTCAAGCAGAACAGCCAGTCCTAATCTTGATTTTATTATACTGGTATTCTACATACAAGACGTTTTTCTTCTCTCTATGAGTATTCATGAGGAATGGGGAAAAGTTGCCACCTGTATGACATCATTACACACTTTTATCAGACAACAGAATGCCAATGGATCCATCCAAATGCCAAAGTTATATTTCAGTGCAAATGTCACTGCTTCACACACACACACACACACACACACCAAAAATGTAGGGAAGATGTACCAATAGCACTTAAGAGTTATATACTGCTTCACAGTTCTCGCCAAGCGGTTTACAGAGTCAGCATATTGCCCCCAACAATTTGGGTCCTCATTTTACCCACCTTGGAAGAATGGAAGGATGAGTCAACCTTGAGCCTGGTGAGATTTAAACTGCCAAATTGCAGGCAGTCAGCAGAAGTAACCTGCAGTACTGCACTCTAACCACTGCACCACGTACCTCATTGTTAGAGGATATGTTTGAGTGCAGAAGGAACCCAATCCATTCCATCTCTAGAAGTGTGCAAAATAGTCCATTTTTAGTAATAAAAACTCACTGGAAGTGTTCTGTTATTGCCTTATCCATCCTGTTGGAAGTGGTTCAGTTGTGTTTTTTTTTTTTTAAAAAAAAATATTCTTTTGTGTCTGGATCTTTTCTGACCTTGGAATGTTTTGTGTATCTTTTAATTCCCAGCATCTCTGGGGAAACAAAAGGCCTGTAACTTTAAAAATGTACTATTCGTTCTCTCATTTAGGTGGCTTCTAAAGGGAACTAGACAGATTCCCAGAGAACAGCAATGTCTGTGGTAATTAATAGCTTAGTCGATGCAATGGAGTCTCTACCAACCAGATTCATAGGAACAACATTGGGATTAGAGGCTGTGGGCTTGCTAAAGCTTCTAATGGGCCACTATGGATTGAATACTACTACATGGGTGTGCTGATCCACTCCCATCCCAACATACAGCCCAACAGTTCAAAAACCCCAACAGTTGTTCAGAAACAGTGCTGGGTTGCAGGCGGTACGCCCCGGTACGAGCGTACCGGAGCCAGCCTGAAGCACCAGATACCATTCCGGTATGGTGCTCCGGAGAGCCCACCAGCCCGCCCGAGCTCCTTACCTGTGTTTTGAAGCTTCTGCGCTGCCACACACGTACATGGTGCATACAGCTGCAGGAGCAGCTGGAGCACCGCGGAGGCGCTAAGACGCATGCGCGCACTGTACCGGTTGGAACGGGATTTGAAACCCACCACTGCTCAGAAAGTACCCCCATTGAACAGATTCCAAGCGCAACATGGCAAGAGTCAGTAGGTAACAGCCCACCAGGCACACACAAAGTCCAGGAAATCAGCCACAATTCAAACAGGTCAGGATACACAAGGCACAGAACGTGGCAGGTTGCTCCAGGAACACTCAAATCTTCAGGTTGGGATTAAGTAGGCAACGCCAGTGCATGAGAGGTGAGGTTGCCTCATGAGTAGTCTAGCTGACCAACATTGTGCCTGTCTCCTCTCTGCTCTACCTGTTCTTGGATCAGGAGGAAGTGTGGATTCCTCTACCTCCTCATTGCTAAATGGGCAGCAGCTGCTCCTGGTTCTTGCCTGGAGCCTCCTGGCCAGCTTGCTGCAGCTGTGGCTGGCCTCACTCAGGCTAAGCCTGTCACTCCTGCATCAGCCCAACTGAGGTTGCTCTATGAGGCCAGCACTCTCAGCCCCAATCCTGACCAATAATTGGCTCCAAGCTTTCCTCTGCAAACTCAAACTCCTACTCCTACTCTGAACTTGCATCTGGAGAGAGGTCTGGATCCATGACAATGATCTTAGGCAGGATTCAAGTGTCAAGAGAGCCGAGGTGGCGCAGTGGTTAGAGTGCAGTACTGCAGGCCACTTCAGCTGACTGCTATCTGCAGTTCGGTGGTTCAAATCACACCGGCTCAAGGTTGACTCAGCCTTCCATCCTTCCAAGGTGGGTGAAATGAGGACCCAGACTGGGGGGGCAATATGCTGACTCTAAACCGCTTAGAGAGGGCTGAAAGCCCTATGAAGCGGTATATAAGTCTAACTGCTATTGCTATTGCTATTCATGTCAGCATTGGCAACACTAAACTAAGTGGGCCAAGGCCGAAGCAAATTTATGGGGCCTCCTAAACCACAATGTAGTTTGTTTAGTTTTGGTTGAGTGTTTTGTGTGAATCCAGCCAATGGTAGCTTATTCAGTCAACTGCAGCCAAGCAATGACCTAGCATGATAGGCAAGCCCTTTCATTATGTTACACACCTGTAGCAATAGATGGCATCATATATGCAAAATAGCATGGGTCACTAAGTCTCCTTGCCCCTCTCTAAGCATGAACCTAACAGTTCGAAAGCATGTAAAAATGCAAGTAGAAAAATAGGGACCATCCTTGGTGGGAAGGTAACAGCATTCCGTGTGCCTTTGCATTGAGTCATGCTGGCCACATGGCCATGGAGACATCTTCGGACAGCGCTGGCTCTTTGGCTTTGAAACGGGGATGAGCAGGGGTGGGTTGCTGCCAGTGTTATTGCTGGTTTGCAACCTGTGCGCATGTGTGCACTTCACACATGTGTGCTGTTCACTGTAAATTGCTCTGCGTGCATGCGCAGAACAATTTACAGTGAACTGTGCACGCGCAGTCACTAAAATCCAAAATGGCGGTGGCCAAGCGGCAATGAGGGAACCAGTTCGTGGGCGTGGCAGGCCTGGGTCGCTGCCGGTTCTGCGACCCCAGGCCTGAATTCCACTACCATTTCAAACCAGCAACAACCCACCTCTGGAGATGAGCACCGCTCCCCTAGAGTCGGGAACGACTAGCACATATGTGCGAGGGAAACCTTTGCCTTTAAGCATGACCTCACTCAAAGTCATTGAGATCACATGAGATTCGGAAGCCTCGTGAGAGCTGGGTAATTTTAAAACTTTGATTTGGGGATGGCGGGGGGGGGGGGTCAAAGACTTAGAAATGATGATTGTCTTGGTTCTTGTCCGTACTGTACTATCAACCCTTGTACTAACATATTCTGCTGTACCCGATTTCTAAATAATGTTAACTGTTTCAACACTTGCTTTGCCTGCATGCAAATTTGTACGTATCAAACACTGGATTCCAAACCTTTTTAGAGATGACACACACATTTGGAGTTCAGAGGGGGATTTAAGTGTGTGTGAAAAACAATTAATAGCAACAGCGCTTGCTTATGGGAGAAACCGTTGCCAAATTGGCTTGATGCTTCTGTCACTAGTCCAGAAGTTCTCTCCTTAGCACCTTTTCCAGTAAGTGCCAGCTACTTATAAATAGATGGATTCTCAGACTTTGGCAGAAACATCACTCAAGAGCAGATGGATTTCTAAACCACTAGCGGCAATTTGAAGTAAGTCACTAGCAAGGGTTGGTGCCAGATCAGTAGTTTTGAGGCAGGAATGTGATCTAGGCCAGGGGTACTAGAGTTCATATCCTACAGAGGCTTGGGGACCTCTGACGGGGTGATGGCATCCAGAATAGACCACAACACTGTAGATGGTTCTGCGGGTTTTCCATCATTGATGGAATTAAGGGTCTTGAAGACTGATGGATGGCCAGTAGCTGTTCAACTGGTTCCACCACAAAACCGCGGAGGACAAAATCGCGCTCGACGAAAGCGTGCATTTGACGTCATCACAGCGCGAC